TCATGTATTGCCAAATTATAAAACCAGAGTACTGCTCCTCATTATGGAGATAAGAGCATTTCCTCTCACTATACATTAACAAATGGCTGATTCCGAATATAACAGTTAATAAGCCCAATTTAGCATCCTGGCAGAGGACAGCTTCACCCAGTCAAGCCCAGATGTTTCATTAACATTTCTAAGTGTTAGTATAAAGTAGAAAGCAATTTTTCAGGAGACTTAATATCAACATCTTAATTGAATTATATTCATAACAATGCTGCAGGGGAGAGGGAGAACAAAAAGGAACAATCAGGATTTGAACCTGAAAATAACTTCAGTAAAGTTTTGAAGAGAAAAAAGCTTTTACACCCAAATCTCCCATGAAAATAAACTTTACAAGAAATTTTGGAGTAAGAACCAGATTTCAGCCATCTGTTGGCTAGAGATAAAACACAGGTAGAGATCAGATCACTGTGGTCTTCCTTATTTTGTCCATGCCCTGAAAACGAGACATTATTGTGACCATCTGGAACATCATATATTAAATATTGTTATAAAAGTAAACTAAAAAATATTCTCTGTCAGGGATTGTATCAAGTCACTGGAACATCCACAAACTCCATTACTGGAGAGGTGACAATCCTCAGGCCCTAGACCTTTCTTGCAGCTCCCACCCTGGTACAATTTTCAAAGGACAGTATGCTGGTATGCTTTTCTACTTACGTGTTTAAGCAACTTTAAGAGATGACACAGCCTGTACAAAAGAAACAGCTTCTAGAACATGGTGTTAGACTGAAGACCCCTAACACATGCACAAGAAAACAATATAGAGACTGACTGAATTTCAAAGGTCTCCTAGAGTATTTTTTATAGCAATTTATAAACAAGAGAGGATAATAACAATTATTCTATCATTTCATAGGCATTGGGCTCACCTGACCTCCAATTTTGAACATCAGCTTTCTAAACCATTTTCTATGTTGGGTTTTTTTTTCCTCAACTAGAACAGTGTAATAAATTTAGCCAGTCTGTATTTCTCCCAATAGCTTCCTTTAAGATAAGTATTATTACATAAAAGGACTCTCTCAAGAGTAATTAAAATCCGATTTATTTTTTGAACAGTGATGTCCTTCATGCTACTCGCTCCACTTTCTTATATAATAAGATCCAGAACAAAGAAAAATTAATACTATGTACATGATAAATATAAAGGATTTGCGGTTGGAATATGCTCCAAAATTTATTTTTGGTTCAGCTTCCAAGGCATTAACATTCAAATGAAAATATATCATTTCTACTTACTGCTATTGACAAGATCTTTGTGAAAGAGTCTTTTAAGAGTGAATCTGTGGAAGTTTCTAAAGCTTTTTTGTATCATTGTCAGACTCATTTTATTAAACAACAGCTGATTCAATTGCAGTTGAAAAAATTTACAGAGACCTATTGTTTCATTTAATAGCCATAAGCATTTAATTCTAGTTCAGTACGCTGCAGAAACATGCAAACATGGCAGTGATGGACTGGCACACAGACAAAATAACTTTAGGACAAGGAAGTCCTGCAATTTATACATTATGAATACTTTCCAAAATTCTCCCCTCACCCGCCCTGCACCCCGCTTAAGTAATAGCAGCAGCTTCTTTAAATAACAGCCCATCTGAACCCTTGCTCTGTGGAAAGTGCAGTCTGTGAATGAATCCTATCCCCTCCTGAAAAGGCTTTCTTTAAAAACCATTTTTTGTTAGTTTAAGTGGGATTTAAATGATCAAATTCCAAACTGGAAATCACCGTTTTGTTGTTTAAGGAAGCCAGACAAAAAAACCCTATCTGGCAGAATAAGACTACAATGGCAGAGTCAGATTTCCAGAAAGATTCTATTACAAGTGTGCTTGGCAATAGTATGTGCTGTGTTAAGTGGGAGCAACAATGGGGCTATGTCAGCTTACGCCAAAGGTGGATTTGCTCCATAGCCTTAAAACTGATTTTTTTTGTTTACAGAAAGGACTGAGTCAGAGGCAAGGTGATGGTGTGGAAAGTCAGGCAAGTCTTAAAAAACTCATTTCGTTACTCTGAAGATATTTTTAAATACTTTTTTAAAGAGGTACCGCTGGAGAGTTAAATCTCCTGGTGAAAGTCTGTAAATATTACCTCTAAGAAATCTACTGGTACCTAAACCTTGTTAATTTAAGCATCTCTATTTTACTGCATGTGGGCAAGCCACAAAGAAAAGGACCTATAGGATAGAGGTAAAGAAGAAGACACAGATGAAAAGTAGGTGGTTATGTCCAAAACTGATCCAGAGCTGAAGCACATCATAGCAGGACTTGGTGGAATGATGCATACAGTACTCACTGCTCTGGTCTCTGTTCCTCTCAGTTCAAGCATTTTAAATTAAGAAGCCAGTTGATTATAAACCAAAAATTTAGAAGTACCTCTTTAAGCATGAAAAATTAAAGTCCTCTCCACCTTCTGTTTAAAATAATGCACTATACTGCTACACTTAAAGATACAGTATCAAGAATTTTGTTTGTAGGGTTATTTAAAAGAATGAAAAAGATCTTAAAAGAAACTTGTCTCAGCTCAAGGGAAGAGACAATGACAGACCTAACAAACCTGTACAGCAACATGCAATTGTTTCTCCTTTTTTGCTTTCAAGCACATTCCAAAGTCTTTAATCACATTATGCATGCTGTTATGTAATTGAATCCATCATGTTCTTCTAGTCAGTCACCTTCAGCCCAATTATGTAAACAAATGCATCAATATATACTCACAGTGATCAATAGACCACTCATCCAAAGAGCTTGCTTCCCACATGGCACTTTCTAAAATGTAACCAGTGAAATCTGAGCACAAATGGTGGCCAGTTGTCCCAAAAAGATCTCTTCAGATTGTGCTTCTCCTGCATGAGTCTCTCATGTTAACAGATGCAGTAGCTGACAATCTAGCACCGTGCTTCTGTGGGACACTTAACAGAACTCAGGACTGCTGGGCTGCAGCCATGTCTATGCCTCTAAGCAGAGCTTCTGAGACAGGGCAAAACAGTTACGTTAGGCACCCAGAATCACTGTGCAGGAATGGAGCCATGGCATCACACTGAAACACAGGAGAAAGAAGCCTACCTATACAGAAAAGATGACTGTACTTCATTTTGCACACACTAAAAGAAGACTCTCAAGTGGGAAAAAACACAAAGACACCACCCATTATTAATAAGCCACACTGGAGAACATTTCTGGGTCACGATACTCTTTGGTAGCTATGTCTTTCCAGATCAGTGTCACTGTTCCTACACCTGTCAGTCTCTATATTTCAAAACTGAGACAGAAATAACCTGAGCAGGTCTGCTAAGTTTTCCAAAGCACTGGAAACAGAATGAGAGTTGACACACTGTATTTCTGTATCACAGCACTACCATTTTCTTTGTTCTCTCTCAAGCTTTCTTTTAAACCACTACACAGAAATAAGTAAAAAAGTAAGTAACAATTAAATGAGCATATGGAACAAGCAGAAGCAGAGACCTTCATAGCATTAATTCACATTTGTTCCAAGCAATTAAAAGAAGTACTTGTATCTGCACTATTAGTAACAGCATCATTAATGTAAATATATGGTCATCAACTTGTTTGTAATTGCAAATAATGAGGAAAAAAGGGGAATTTTTTAGTGCATCCCTGTAAAGCTGAGAATCATTGCACCAGATCCCTACAGTTAAAACAATCCTGTTTCTTAGAGTTAAGAGACTTCTATGTACTCACTGACAATTTCAGACTTGATTGGTTTCCTAGAAAAATTCATTGTTATCACATTATACATGAAACTCGCAAACTAGGTGTTACACTGGATACAGTGCAGCTTAGGACTTGAGCTTACGTTGACTGTGAAAACATGAGATGCTGAACAGAGCTGTAATTCAGAAGATTCAATGGAAGTCATGCTTTGATTATGTTCGAAAGGAAAACATGTGAATGGAACTTTTTAAAAATTAAAAACATATTAAGGTGTGGAGAAAACCCACTTGAAGTAATTAGAGGACTTGGACTTCTGCAGTAAGAAGTTGCAGGTCATCATGAGTCATTGCCATCATTCAGTTTCCTTAGATGCAGAACAGAAATAGAGCAGATGTACGAAACATAAGAAGCAGAGCATGACTCAGTAAATGTAACCCAGAGGTAATTCATTAGAACTTATTATTTGATATAAACTGCTTAGTGCTGCTGCTCCCAAGACTGGAAACTGTCTTCCTCTCTCCCCATCTACCCAGAATTTTATGAATGCTTTGGTTCTGTCATAGGATGCCTATTTCACCTTTATGCATTTAATTACCTTTCCATGTCATAAGAAAGAAAGTTTAAGAAGAGTAATCTCTTGGCTGTAATTTTCTTAGTGGAATCTTTTATCTTCCACAATTCAGAATGTTCACAGGAGAACAAGAGAAAGAATAGAAGAAGAAAATGGAATATATGAAATACATTGAGACTGCAAAAGGAATCTCATTCACACAAAACTTTCAGTGCCAAACTTCAATCAAAACAAGGAACAGTTGCATGAACCATTAACATTAACATCTGCAAGATTTTAAAACTCAATCATAGTTTCACTTCTAACCCATTAGAAAGAAAATTTATCTTAATTTCTATGTCATTAAACTAATGTTCATGGAAAAAAATAGGCCCAAAGATTAATGCCTTTTGGAGTGTGCAATCTGGAGTGTGCCATGAAATTTCCAAGTCCCAAAATACCCTGTCCTAAAATGGCCCAAATCCACCCAGCAATCCAGCTTTGAGTTATCTCAAAGTTACCTTAGTGGGTTTGGGATTCTGAAATGGCATTTTAAATGTAGAGTTACAAATACAGATTACCAGAAGGGAGCTTTCCAGAATGTACTGTGCTTCAGATGAAAATGAAAACTTCATTTTTCAAGATCGTCTCTGGTTCTTAATTCATGTAACTAGCACATCCAAGGCTGTTTTTTCCCCCTCCCTTGGGCTTAAATCACAAGTTTAAGTTGGACTTACGCAGTTTTGCCCTCACTATCTTGTTTCGTGGCACTGGCTCCCTTTTTACCCAGCAATGAAGCCACTTTCTCAGGATCGCCATTCTCCACTGCCTGCAGCAGCCGATCATCATTCTTATTCCACTCATTGTTCTGGAATAAAATAAAAAGGGAGAAATATTATTAGTACCAGCACTGTGCCCAGGCTTTCCTGAATGCTCCTAAACACAAGTATCACCACTAAAAGCTGAAACAAAAGCCCAACCCAAAGAAATAGTACAGCAAAAGCTGCATTAAAGTAATCTGCAAGCTGTGCAGTACAGGTTCCCAAGGACTTAATGGCTCAAACCAGGGCCTAAGCAATCACTGGAGATGACCACTAACATGGAAATTCTGTAGAATAGTAATGCAGGAAAAAAATCCATTTGTTCTTACTGTATTTTAAAAAGTTCTCCTTCATTTGTCCAGTCCTGGTTTCTATTTTTGAGCTGCACTGGCCCCATCAGACCTTCATCACATACATCATGCGGATAAGGAATGATTCACACCCCACCCTAACAACACAGGCCAGCCAAAACTTTCCATATTTAAGGCTTTTCCCAGTTCACACTTTGTAGAGAGTAACAGTACATTGGTTTAGGCCTTGCCGGGACTGGAGATCATGTTGCTGTTGTCCCTCCCCCACCCTCAGACACAAGTAGGGCACAAACCCCGGGTTAAAATAAGAAGAAATTTAATACAACAGTGTGATAAACAATCAGAACAACAACAGTGGCAATGATGATAACAATAAACAGTACTAACAGTGAACAAGACAAAAGATATACAGGGAAATACTGCAATGGATACAGACAGCTCGCTTGTGATGCTCCCCGCCACCAAAGCCACAAAGGAAAAAGTTCCCACAATCCTGCCCCTGGACCTGATGTCAGCATGGTATAAATAACCCAGCTGGAGATCCCTTCCCCCTGCTGGGGATACTTAATCCTATCCTAGCTGAACCAGGATATAATCCACCCCTTTATACCACCTGTGTCATGTCCAGCTGCCATTTAGCAGTTAACAATAACAAAGTAATAATCTACACAGGCACAGCATAATTTATGGCATGTTCTCACCCAGAATCAAGTCCCCCTGTGGTACACATTGGACCTCTCCATTGTCCTGCATCACCCACCAGGTACGCCCAGGTCCTTGGGCAAAAGCAATCCAGTGGATGGGTTTGCCTTTACCTTTGCCTGGCACAAGACTAAACCAGACCATTTTTCCCAATACATTCCTCATGCGCACCACAGGGACTTTATCCCCATCTACAGCACGTGGAGGTTTCGGCTGAGCCCGGCCAGCTCGACTGGCAGATCCTCTTGTGTTGATGAGCCAGGTGGCCTTTGCTAGATGCATGTCCCAGTCTTTGAAGGTGCCACCTCCCAGTGCTTTCAACGTGGTTTTTAACAGTCCATTGTAGCGCTCGATCTTCCCAGAGGCTGGTGCGTGGTAGGGGATATGGTAGACCCACTCGATGCCTTGTTGTTTCAGTGCCACTCGATGCCACTCGATGAGGTTGTTTCGGAAGTGTGTCCTGTTGTCTGACTCAATTCTCTCTGGGGTGCCGTGTCGCCACAGGACTTGGGTCTCAAGGCCCAGGATGGTGTTCCGGGCAGTAGTGTGGGGCTCTGGGTGAGATTCCAGCCACCCAGTGGTTACTTCCACCATTGTGAGCACGTGGCGCTT